AAGTTATTTGCTCCTTTGTATTCTTAGCAGCCTAGTGCAGTTGGTGGGATAGGCCTATGGAGGGGGCATTCCATAAGCATTTGTAGGACAAGGAAAAAAGGAATGCGAGAGAGTGGGGAAGAGGGAGGGAGGAAAGAAGGAAAGAAGTAGTAAATTGAGCCTTCTTGGAGCCCCCATCTTGCTAAAGTATTACTTCGAGCACAGCTGTTTAGAAAACAGCCAACCAACCCTACCTACCTGCTGATACCTCAAAATTGTGTCGATTTTTTCTCCTTTTTGTACCCACTTGTCCATCCCTAATTTCATTTTTTAATGCCCCTTTTACAACAAAGCAGGCAAACCGTCAGCAATCATCTGATCTAAGGACATAATTTGTTGTCCAGCACTCATGACCAACAGTGTTAGTCTTCTCAAGCTGCTCTAATAAAATACAATAGACCAAGTGGCTTAAACAGCAGAAATGTGTTTTCTTACAGTTCTCAAGGCTGAAAAGTCCAAGACTGAGGTGTCAGCAAATTCAGGTCCTGGTGAGGGCTAACTCCTAGGTTGTAGTCAGCCAACTTCTCACCATGCCCTCACGTGGCCTTTCCTCAGTGAGTGCATGCAAGGCAAGCTCAGAAGATCTCTCTCTCTTCCTCTTATAAGGCCACTAATCCCACTATGAGGGCCCCACCCTCATGATCTAATGTAACCATCATTACCTCCCAAAGATCCCATCTCCAAATATCATCACGTGGTAGAAGGGTTAGGACATCAACATAAGAATTTTGGGGCGTGCATAAACATTCAGTCTATAACACCAACATCTTTTAAATCTGGAAATCTCATTCATATTTGCAGCTTCTCCTAAAGAATGAGAACATTTGCCAGCCCTTTGCCTCTGTTATCATCCGGCACATACTGGGGGGTGCATGCCCCCCACCAGGTCACCATAGCCACTGTGACTGCCTCACATCTCTCATCAACCTATTTCATTAATTTGTGCCTGGACCATTTTCAGTTTTCTGGATGACATGGGTGAGGAGGAGGAAACTCAGGTAAATGATAAAGTTTGACCATCAGGATGTTGAGTTACCTTATGTCTCTGTGCATGTTGGCTTACTTTAAATGTAGTGTACATTTGGAGGTGGAAGCTGAGCAGGGAATTCTCTAACACATTGGAATCACATGGAAAATCACTTGAGATTTTGAGGTTTATAGGCATGGGAAATTAGAGCCCTGGGGCATGTGACTATATCACGGAACTGAAAGACTAGATTCTTTGATTAGGCTTCAGGCTCCTGAAATCTCCTGATTGTTCATCTCATACTAATTATCTGGGAGAAATACTAGAAGGCAAGTTATGATACTTAAAATATCAGTGATTGGCTAAAGAAAAGACATAATTACAGGTTGGCTGGATTAGAAATTTAATCTCTATGGTATCTTCCCACAAATAAATGAGAATCAATTTGTAAAATACAGGGAGGAAAAAAACTGTCACACACACTCATCTTCATGCACCTTAGAAAACTGACACTTTGGGACCCTCAGCTATGTGTTCCTTAGAGCTACATGCCAGAGGGTAGCCCCTCATACACAGTTTAACCCTCAAACAGGAGACACTTAGAAAGGGAAGCCCTCGAACCTAATTCACCGAGACTGAAAGCCCCAGCATGCTCTCCACCATTCATGATTCAGTGAACACTGGGCACTTTCCTGGGAGGGCCACTTGTGCCAACACTAAGAATAGAAACAAGGAAGAGTCCACCTCTGGGCTTAGAGTATGGTTGGAAATGGGTCTTTATTTCGAAAGGAAAACAGCAAAGAAGGAACTACATTCCTAACTCCGAAACTTCTGGGTGAACTTGAGGTTTCCATGCTGGGAAGGCTTGTCTTGGTGAGTGTTCCTCCAGCAGAGCTTGCCGAGGCCTCCTGCCCTTTGCAGCCAGAGGACATCCAGCCAGGTCTAGGGAGTCTGTGAGGCCTTGGAGAGTGACTGGGGCCTAGCCTCAAGCTGTCAAAGAAGGGAAGTTGCCATCTGCACCCACTGCCCCCCACCTCTCTGTTTTTTTCCTACAGGGGTTCCCAACACTTTATGTCAAAATCACTGAGAGCATTTTTAAAAATTTGATTCCCCACCCTACCTCAACCCTGCTGAGTCAGAATCCCTGGATTAGGTGGAAGCTACTTTTTAAATAATCTTCTCAGAAAAATTTTATATCAAGTTAGAGAACCACTGGGTAGTAGAAAGAGCACAGCCATTTGAGCCAGTTAAACCAAGATTTGAAAGCTAGTACTGACACTTAATTAACATAATTAACCCTAGGGACCTGGGTTAATTACTTAACTTCTTTGTGATCCAGTTTCCTGTGCAGTAAAATAGAACAATGCCTAGCGTTGTTATAAACTTAGAGTATGCTAAACACTCATCACCAAGCTACTCTGATAATCTCAACCCACCTCCACTAATGGCTGTCCCCAATGTTTTATAATCTGGTTTAAATTTAAGTCAAATTTCTTCGGATTGTTGTTCTAAGTGTATATTCCTAGCTGCAGAAAGAAGAGATTTGTTCACTAATTTTTAAAATCCAGGAAATAGATTGTAAATAGAAATGATTCAGGGGATTGAGTTGGTTTTAGCTTGGAGGTGAGCTATGGGTACCCTCCTATGAAGAGACAAAGTCAATTATATCCTGTCTAACTGAGAGCAAGCAATATATAAAACTGGTAAGAATTGTAGGAAAGGAGAGAGGTCACCAATCTTTCTCCTTACATTTCTGTGATGACCTACCTTTTGTTGCATGATAAAAATGCGAAGAGCTATGGACTAAGAACCAGAAGACCTGGGTTCAAACTGCAGCCATGTGACTTTGGGCAAGTCAATCCTGTCTGAACCTCAGTCTTTTTGTCCATAAAATGAGAGATCAGAGTGCTACAGTCCTACTCCATTGCCTAATGAGTTTCCTATATTTTCAAAGTACAAAATATTCAACTTACAGCCACATAAATGAGGCAGGCACCAGAGCAGTGAAGAAAAGAAATACTTGGCAGGGTGCAAGCTCCCACTCTGGGAGTCTGGATGTAGGCAATCTCATGGGAGTATGATGTCAGGCAGTGTTTATGTTGAATTTGCCAATCCCCAAGCACTTTAGCACTCACAATAGTTGGCCTTAGTCCAAAGTTCCCGGTAGAAAGAGGAGTGAGCAGAGTGTCCACAGGTCACCTGTCCCTGGATGTTCCAAGGGCAGAAGGCAGCCAGAAAATACTTAATCCCAAACTGGGATAGAAATGGTCTCCATCCAAGGCAGTAGACAAAAGGTAAAACTGCCCAGCTGGTTTTCCAAAAAAGTTCGGAGAAGTTCATCAGACATTGAAAACCCTGTCAACAGGGCCACATGAGAGCTGGCAGTGGTGCAGTCATGCTCTCTCTCACCAGCTTCCCAGCAGAGGCACAGACGCATCTCTCTCTCTCTGTCAAGCAAACATGATTTTGTCAAGTCAACAGCTGGATTACTCTTGGGTTGAGGCGTTCCTACTTGAGTGCCACCTGGGGCAGGGGTTAGCAATTAATGGGATACTTGAGGAAGGAAGGAATTGAGCATGAAAATGCCAAAGAAAAGAACATTCTACTTTCTTAAGATTATACAGACACTGGCATGGACGTCCTTAACTCTCTCCTCTCCACCTTCTAATATATCCACCTTTCTTCCGGTCTTTCCTTCCATCTTCCCGTCTTAGAACAAGATGTCATCCAACCTGACAGTTTTGCCTCATTGCCTCTGGATAGCCACACACCTCCCTCTCCTGGATGACCACAGAAAGACTAACTCTTCTTTCTGGAACTTTCTATGGGCTTATTGTCCTCTACATGTCCTTTAAATGTTGGCTTCCAAAAATCCAGCCTGAGCTCTTTGACCTCCTCTTTGCACATTCCCTCTTTGAACAATCTTATCCAAATCTATGGCCTCAGTCATCATCATCATGCCACAGACTCTGAGTCAGTATCAGAGTTCCCAAATTCAATCTTAAGCTTCTGACTTGAGGTTCAGATTTCAACCGCCCTTTGGTTTCTCTTTTCAGCATAAAAGAAAATAGTCAGAGCTACAAGACAGAAACCTACAGTAGGATGCTTTTCAGAAGGGCTTTTCCAAAACATCCTCCAAAGTGAGGATGTTTCCTGTTTTCTCATTCAAAGCACTCCCCGTCCCCATCCCGTAGCTACTACAGGAGTGATTCAAAAACACTGGTACCTAGATTTGAATTTCATCTCCACACTTAGGCAACTTGCCTAACCTCTCCAAGTCTTAACTTCATCATCTGTCTTGAGGGGTTGTAATAATATCCATATTATTGAGTCATGATGAACATAAAATGAGATAACACCTATAAAGTGCTTAGTACTGTGCCAAGCACTAAGCACTCAACAATGTCAGCTATTATTATATGGCCATGATTACCATGCAAAAACAGTGATTCACATTTGAACTTCTGCTATCTTAATAGGGAAACATGTTTTCATTTTTATTTCAGTTCTTTCTAAATCCTTTAACCTTTCCTGCCCCACAGCTACATATAATCCAAATGGTAGGCACCAACTCCTAGGGTGCGAAAGATGCTAATGGACAGAAAAGGGCTTCACTTCTTTTGAGTTTTCTGCCTAACTATAAGATTTTCCTATCAGCTAGGATGAGCTCACTCATGCCAAGTGTCCTCTTATGCATGAAAGACACATGCCTGAATTCAAACTGCAATGAGAAAAAGAGATGTCCACATCAGGCAGAAGCAGGGAAACAAGGTGCCAAGTACAGGAAGCATGGTTTTTGAATAAGACTTGACATTTGCCAAATTTGTTCTACTCTCAAATTCCATCATCTGCCCTTAAATTAAAATGTCCTTGTTTTCACTCTCAATCAAAATGGGTGGGACACAGCAAGTTTGAACTCCCACGAGAGACAGAGACAACTGATAGGAAAGATGAATTCTTGACCAATTGGAATAATTCTGTTACTTACACATTTTTCCCCGGGGCATCGGGGGAAACTCTAACAGTCTTCTCAGAGCGTCATTCTATGTGACTTCCCTGATGCTGTGTGTTTGTTTGCATTCAGCACGGTGGGGCATATACTTTCCTCCTCACTGAAGTTCAGCTTTAATTTTTCTTTAGCAAGCAACACGTAATTTGCTGCAGCCTGCTGATTACAAGGGTGCACAGACCCAGATGAATCATAGAAGCAGGCAGATGGCACAAATACAAATCCTCTGCATTGTGTGTTACGCCCACACTAACCTTCTCATGTGGCCTCTCTTCCCAGCATCCCTTTCCTTCATTACCTCATCCATACCCAAAGGACAATTAGTGCATTCAAGCACTAGAGACAGCTAACTGTACAAGGGAGAGTACAGCAAACAACCTCCTGGGTCCTGGAATCTAGACACAACACAAAGGCAAAATAATTGAAAACAGTAATCATATCTGTGGCAAGTGCTCCAGGGAGCCATCCAGATCTCTCACCGGATCCTAAGTAATCATCCCCCAGCTGCCAGGAGTGTTGACTGCTGGTAGCCTAGCTGAGTTCCTTTTAAGTTATGTCCACCGACTAATGAGGCCACCTTCCCCAATGACACCTGTCTCCCAAAGACAGACAATATCCAATCCAATACCTGGTCAGTGTGTGGGTGTTGGGTGGGGTTGGCAAGGTGGGGTGAGGTGTCAAAGCTGATCTTTCTGCTTAAATTCAGATCAACTTTGAACAGCCATCCCAGGTCTAAAGCTCCCCATAAGGTTGGCAGGGGCTTTTGTTTGGACTGAATTGACGTTTGACTTATCCTTCTGCCCCATCCTTCTCCCATCACTCTCCAAAAGAATTTTCTATGTACAAATCTCCATCTCAGAACCTATTTGCCATTGAACTTGACCTAAAACAGTAACTCTGACAAGTGAATACATCAAGATTCAAGGAAACTAGTATTCCAGAAACGTCCACCAAGACTCGAAGCACTCCTTAAGATTCATGGAAAGTGAAGGGGTAGTCTGTGGCATTACAGAGCCAGCCAAATTGGCCCCACAGTTAGATGGATGCACAAGTTAGGCTCTGGGGAATGACAGGACCTGGGAGAGAAGCCAAGATGCCTTGGGCTCTGTCCCAGTGTTTCTTCTGTGTGCCCTTACACAGGGTTTTTAGAACAGTGCTTCTCAAACAAGCAATGTCGGAGGATGGTTTTCATTTTCAATATATCATAAACCAATTTTTTGTCAAGTACACTAAAATAAATTACAACTCCACACTCCTTAAAAGTGTCTTCCTTAGTAACTTCCTTCAAAAGAGCATAGTATGAAAATGGGAACAGGGAGAAAAATAACTGTATAGTAAAGAAAACTGGCAAAGACTGCCATTTGCCAGATGACCAAGGTTAATATCAACGACAGTGATAGATCATGTTTATGGTATGTAGCCTTGATAAGATGTGGTGAAAACAGCACTTCAGCTCTCTGGTATTCCTCCCCCAAATCCATAAGCCCAGTTTAATCATGAAAAAAAAAATGAATCCCAATTGAAGGACATCCTTCAAACCTGCCCAATAATCCTCAAATCTTTCAAAGTCGTGGAAACCAAAAAAAGTCTGAGAAATTGTTACAACCAAGAAGAGACATAATGATTGGTGGTAATATGGTATCACTGGATAGGATTCTGAAAGAGGAAAAGGATATCAGGTTAAACCCTAAGAATATCTGAATAAAGTATGAATACCAATGAATCATAATATATCACTATTGGTTAACTAACTGTAACTAATGTAACATTAATTTTACTATCTTATACTATCTGTAAGATAGTGCAGAGTATGTGAGAATTCTCTGTACTATCTTCTGAATGTTTTTGTAAATGTTCCCAAAATAAAGTTTATTATAAAAAAATTAAACAAATGACAACATACCTGGGCTTTTAAAGACACGAAATATAGGCCTAGATGACTTAAAATTTCTCTGTCAAATTGCTACAAAATTTTGCAAAACTTACTCTCACTTTCTATATTCCAACAACCAGGAGTAAGTGGTTCTCAGACTGGCTTCGGTCTGTTGACTATCTTTGAGGAACTCTCAATTTGACTCTAGGGTTTAGTTTCCTCATCAGTAAAATGAGGGCATTGGGCTTTAGGATCAGATTCCCCTCTGGAAAGCCTCTGAAGTCCTGTGCTGGGTGATCGGTTAACTTCTGCCAAAAGAGCAAGTGCTCAGAACCAGATGCCTAGAATCAAGCCCTGCTCCATGACAATGACATGAGGTCCTCCCCAACCAGTATTGTCAATAGCTGTACTCTCCCCAAACCTCTTGAACTCAAGTAATACAAAGGCGACTGTCTCGGGCCTTTTTGATGTTGTTGTTCTAATATAGAACTAGAAAAGAGGGAAAAACATCAAATTAATGCTATGTGTTCAGGCTGTCACAGATGGTCCTCAAGCCAGGGTGGTGAGTGTTCTTTTTCTCTCATTTGGAACCCCAGAAACCCAAGAGAAGACTCTGGTGCCAGGAGGCTGATGGAATTGCAACCCAGTTGTGGGCCAGGAACCAGAGCACTGTCTGCAGACCATGAATTGTCGTAGTACACAGGGTATAGTATGAAAGAAGACATCACACATGGGGAAGTTGATAAAATAATTAGAAGACAAACCCTCCAATGAGCAAGAAAGAAAAAAAAAATGGCAGTTGAAAAACAGATGGTAGCAACCTGGCCCACTGAATAGGTTTTTGAGATGTGAGTGGTAGGTTTTAAAACAACCGAAGGGGATAATTATACATCTGAGATGCCAGAGGTGATTCCGTCTCTTGTGGATCTTGGAAAGCTGAGAGCTGATGCCAAGAAACAGGACACGCACACAGAAAAGGCCAACAGGGAATTGGAGTGAAGAACACTGGTCACCACTCAGGCTCCATGAGAGAGATGAAGGATATTTAAATATTGCAACTTGGAAGGAATTTAAATATTGAAACATTTTGGGAGGCCAAGGCAGGTGGATCACCAGGCCAGGAGTTCAAGACCAGCTTGAACAACATAGTGAAATCCCGTCTCTACTAAAAATACAAAAATTAGCTGGGTGTGGTGGTGCATGCCTGTAATCCCAGCTACTCAGGAGGCTGAGGCAGGAGAATTGCTGGGACCCAGGAGGCAAAGATCACGCCATCGCACTTCAGCCTGGGCGACAGAGCAAGACTCTGTCTTAAAATAAATATTGAAACGCTTATTCCATATGCCATTCACATATTATCTCCTACTAATTTCTCCTACTAATTATATATTATTTCCTATTACTTTATCTTCTACTCCAAAATAAATAAATAGATAAATATTGAAACACTTATTCCATGTGCCATTCACATATTATCTCCTACTAATTATATATTATTTTCTATTTCTTAAACTTCTACTCCAAAACTCTGTGGCCCATCTCCTAATAAAAGAGTAGGTCTACGTATTTGACCCATATTTTAGAAATTCCTAAGGATGGAATGTTTCGGCAAAGGTAATATTTCATAAGAGTAACATATTGGCATAAGAGTAGCATATTGGCAATGGCATGTTACTCACTTTAATAAACAATCTCAGTGACTTAACACATAAAGTATGGTTTTGCACAGGTCAGCAATAGGGGCTCTGCTCCAGGTGGTCTTTCAGGAACCAGGCTTCTCCCATGTTGCGGCTCCTTCATTTAAACACAAACCAGCAGAAGCGGGTACGGAAAGTAGAGAAAGGAGAAAGCTCACCCACTCTTACCTGCCTTGACCTAGAAATGACACACTGCTTTTATTCACATTACATTGGCAAGGACTAGTCACATGACCTCACCAGATACAAGAAGGCTGGGAATGGTTTGACTCTGTGCCCAGGAAGAAGAAATAGGTCTGATGAGCACTGAGATGATTGCCAGGAGTAATCATAAGAGGCACTCTCAGAAAGCTGCCCAAACATGTTGGTCTTCAATAGTTTCACATGGCTCAGAGAATGAAATGCTCAGAAAATGTGGGCACTGTCTAGACAATATTCTTATTAGCACCTGAGTCAGTGCCCCACCTGTTAGCAGGTATTCACAGGATTAAAAGTGTGGGTTCTGGAGTTTGACTGCCTTTACTCAGATCTGGCTTTTGCTTCTTGCCTCCTATGTAACCAACCTGGGATAAGTTAAACCTCTTTGGACTTTGGTTTTCTCCTTTGTACTTGGATATTGGTACAAAGAATAAGGATATTGCTACTTTCTTCATAGGGCTGTGAAGTTTAAATGAGATAATTCTCATAAAACACTTCACATAGTGCCCAGCACATAATAATTTCTTAACATTGGTTAAATACTTCTTACATACTACAAGGGTGTACCACAAGTGCTTTATATTAATAAACTAACTTAATGCTCACAAGAACCCCCAGAAGTTAGAACAGTTTTCTCCATTTTAGACATAGAAAAACAGGTCCAGAAGAGTTAACTAGTCCAAAGTCATACAACCATTGATTGGAAGAAAAAAATTAGTAACCCAGGCTGGCTTCAAAGCTAAACTGCTTTACCCTATCATCACCTGCCTCTCAATAAATATCTCCTATTTACTTGGTATTTAGTACCTTTATTGAGGTGTAAATGACATAAAATAATGTAGTTATACTTAAAATATACAATCTGATAAGTTCAACATTATACATATACCCATACCTGTGAAACTGTCACCACAGCCAAGATTATGAACGTGTCATCATCCCAAGATGTTTTTCTACCCCCTTTGAAATTCTTTTCTTCTGCTACTCCCCACTCTACCTGTCCCCAGGCAACTACTTAACTGCTTTCTGTCACTATAAATGTCTGAATTTTCTGGATTTGTGTATAAACAGAATCATACAGTATGTCATTTTTTATCTGCTTCTATCAGTATAATTACACTGAATTTCACTCATGTTTCATGTGCCAATGGTTCATTTATTTTCATGAATTAGTATCCCATTGTATAGCTATACCATAGTTTGTTTATTCATTCATTTACTGATGGACACTGATGGACATTTAGGTTATTTCTTATTTTTTACTATTACAACAAAGCTTCTATGAATAATCATGTTCAAGTCTTTATATAAAAATATACTTTGATTGCTCTTCAGTAAATGCCTGTAAAACGACTGCGTTATTTGCTATCTATATGTTTAGCTTTTAAAGAAACTAGCTATTTTCTAGAATGATTGTACCATTTTATGCATCCGTCAGCAGCACATAAGGGTTCCAGTTGCTTCCCACCCTTGACTTGCCATGGTTGGTCTTTATTCTAACGGATGAGTAGTGCTATCTCAGTGCGGTTTTAATCTGCCCCTAAGGAATAATAATATTGAGCACTTTTAATGCATTTCTCTGCTCCCCATATGTCCTTTCTGGTAAAGTACCTGTTCAAATATTTTGCCCAATTTTACTGGTTTATTTGTTCTCTTATTACTGTGTTATAGGAATTCTTTGTATAGCCTATATGCAAGTCTCTTATTAGATATGTGATTTGAAAATATTTTCTTCCAATAGGCAGCTACTCTTCATTTTCTTAAAAGTTTTGTGCAAATTTGAATAAAGTCCAATTTATATTTTTTTTCTTTTATGGTTTATTGTTTTGGTATGGGATTTGTGGAATTTTTCCCTAATACCATGTCACAAAGATATTCTCTTCTGTTTCCTCCTAGGAATTTTATATTTTGAGATTTTGAAAGTAGGCCTATGATCTCTTTGGGATTTGGATATGTTGCAAGGTTTGAATCAAAGGAGTTTTCTTTTTTTTTTCCTGTTTTTACAAATGGATGATCAATTGTTAAGAAGGCTATGCTTTCTCTATTGAAGAGCCTTTAAACCTTTATAAAAGTCAGTTGACCAGATACATGAGATTTATGTTTCCATTATATCTACTTATACCTGTCCATCTTGATACCCTTACCACACTACCTTGATTACAATGGTTTTATGTCTCAAAATTAGGTAGTATGAGTCCCCCAACTTTGTTCTTTTTCAAAATTATCTTTGCTATTCTAAGTCTTTGCATTTTTATATAAATTGTAGACTCATTTTATCAACTTCTACCAAAAAACAAAACAGCTTTCTAGGATTTTCATTGGAAATGCTTTGAATTTATACATCAATTTGGGGACAATTAACAATATTGATTATTTCACTCCAAGAATTAAGGATATCATTCCATTTTTTAATATATTTCTTAATTTTTTTTTTTTGAGACAGAGTTTCGTTCTTGTTACCCAGGCTGGAGTGCAAAGGCGCTATCTCGGCTCATCGCAACCTCCACCTCCTGGGTTCAGGCAATTCTCCTGCTTCAGCCTCCTGAGTAGCTGAGATTACAGGCACGCGCCACCATGCCCAGCTAATTTTTTGTATTTTTGGTAGAGATGGGGTTTCACCATGTTGACCAGGATGGTCTCAATCTCTTGACCTCGTGATCCGCCCGTCTTGGCCTCCCAAAGTGCTGGGATTACAGGCTTGAGCCACCACGCCTGGCCCTATTTTCCTTAATTTTTTTTAGCAATGTTAAGTAGTTTACAACAGGGATCCCCAGCCCCTGGGCCATGTGGACCAATACTGGTCCACGGCCTCTTAGGAACCAGGCTGCACAGCAAGAGGTGAGTGGGGAGTGAGTAAGGGAAGCCTCATCATATTTCCAGCTGCTCCCCACTACTCACATTACCTCCTGCACTCCACCTCCTGTTAGATCAGCAGCGGCATTAGAGCATCTTAAGAGTGTATATCCTATTGTGAACAGCACATGGGAGGAATCTAGATTGCACGCTCCTTATGAGAATCTAATGCCTGATGATCTGTCACTGTCTCCTATCACCCCCATATAGGACTGTCTAATTGCAGGAAAACAAGCTCAGGGCTCCCACTGATTCTACATTATGGTGAGTTATAATATTATTTCATTACATGTTATAATGTAATAATAATATAAATAAAGTACAAAATGAATACAATGTTCTTGAATCATCCTGAAACCCTCCCCCCACTGTCCCTGTCTATGAAAAAATTGTCTTCCACAAAACCAGTCCTTGATGCCAAAAAGGTTGTGGACTGCTGGTTCCCAATACAGATACTGATATTATTTTTAAAAACTTCTTTTATATCAATATTATTTCTCTATACAGATTATATCTAAAAGTAGCAGGTCACTAACATTTCTGCTTCCAAAATTGGATACAAAATTGCACGTGTAAGGCACCTAACATTTGTGCCTATTGTACAATGCTGCTGGACTGATTGCAGAGTTAATAAGTTTTATTTAAAAAAAGGATGAAGAGGGAAATACAGAAGTCATAAGGATGAGGCAAGAAAGTATGGGTTCAAAGCAAGAGGCACAATCTGATAAGACTGAGGCCAAAAAAAAAATGACCACAGCAGCACTAATTGCTCAGGAATTAACCGCAAGACTCAGATAGCCAAATGAGGCGGTGCTGTGGAAGCAGTTGTAATGCTCCTGGATAGACAGAGACTACATAGTGAGAAGCTGTTGTGTGTGCAGACATTTAGAAATGAACAGGTGATTTTCCAGTTATAGGAATGGGACCAACTAACAGAAATTTAGCCAGGAAAGGAGCTTATATATATGTGGCACTGAATACCCTCTGCATATCTGGGTACCCTGTAACATTGTCCATGTCCAGGTAAGAATTAAATAAAACTGACTTGTAATGCTTCTTAACCTCTATTCATCTGCTGATACAAGGGAGTCCATAACCCACCTGAAAGGGGGCTCCACTCACTCGGAGTGGACACTGATGGCAAAACACCCAGCAAAATGCTAAGTGCATAGCAACCCAATAAACTCTTAGTTGACCAACTGTAAAAACATTTCTCATCAGGGTTCTGAATTTTTTATTGACTGGAGGGTGTATAGAGAATAGATTTATTAATCAAGGTAATTAGCACTTGCTACCACAACTAGCAAATGAGGAATCTCAGAGGATTAGCAGGATAAAGGTCAATTTGACAGGACACAGAGCTGCTGTTTGTTGGGCAGTGCTCCTGAAACTCACAGTCACACCATCTGGAACACGTGCCCTCCAAGGTTGCCATACCCGAAAACAAGAGCCACAGGGGAATCACACTGGCTCTTCACTGCCTCAGCTCAGAAGATCTGCTCACACCCATTGGCCAGAACAAATCACATGACCCCAAACTAACTGCTAGGGAGACTGGGGCATATAAAAATGCACAGCATAAGCATTAACTATCTCTCCTGCAGAAAAAACTAGGTTCTTTTCTCCACTCCACTCCATTTTTCTCTTCCAGAAGTGGTAGGGAACAAACAGATACGCTGGTCAAGCAAAGGGTCTGCTTTGAGGAGTGTTACATGGGCAGGGTGAAAAAAATATGAAAATCAGGCCATGGTGATGGAGACAGCTCAGTATTTATGGAAGGAATTTTGGAGGACTGCTCTCAATGACAGTGTTCCTGTACCCAAATCTTTACACCCCAAAATCTCTGAACACATTCCAGTGTACTGAACATGTAACCAAGGGGTGAAAATAGGAAGAATCACACTTGTCATCACTCACAGTGACCCACTGGGGGACTTTTGTCCTTCCTGCCCCCATAATTCTGGGTTCTGCAGGTTTGACCCTAGAAGGGAGAATTTTTGCCAGAGGACACAGCAAGCGTCCCATTGAGCTATAAGTTATGACTGTTGACAAGGTATGTTGGACTCCTAGTGTCCAGGAATCAGCAGGCAAAAAGGGTAGCCAATGTATCATCTTATTACATGTCTGCATGATCTGTAATTATATCTTCTTTCCCATTTCTGATGTTGATTATTTGTGTCCTTTGTCTCTTGATCAGTCTAGCTATGTTTCTATCGATTTTCTCGATCTTTTCAAGAATCACCTTTACTCCTATCTGCATCTTTATACTTAAACTGCATCTCTTCTAACCAGCATAGTTCCTCTAATGTTGCTTTCTATTTTGTTGATATCTGTTCTTACCTTAATTAGTTCTACTCTTTTACTGTGTTGGGATTTAATTTATTCTAATCTTTTTAGCTCTTTAAGGTAGCCTTGGGTCATTGATTTAGACTTTTCTTCTTTTCTAATACAAGCACTTAAAATATTAAGTTCCCTTATTTACTGTAATAATAGTTGTTTTAAAATCTACATCTGCTAATTCCAATATCTAGGTCATCTCAAGATTGATCTTCATTGATTATGTTTTCTCTTAAGGATGGGTCAGGGGTCTGACTCCTGCTCTTTGTATGTTGGGTAATTCTGGATGGTTTCCTGGACATTGGGAATGTTTTGTTGGGGAGTCTGCATTTCTATTATACTTCTCCCAACAAGTGTGATATTTTTGTTTTAGCAAAACTCCAAATGCTGTCTTTTGGGAAATGGCTCTTATCTCAGTAAGGTCATTTACCCTTTACTGAGCTGCTTGCAGTGTCCCACATGCACACAAAGTTTGGACCTCAGCCAGAAAGGTGGGCACCTGATGCATGGGATTTGGGGCTTCCCTCTCTGGCACTCTTCTTTCAGAGGTTTTTCTCTCACTTTCTTCTGGCTCTGGCTGCTCTCAACTCTTTCTTCTAGTTCGTCAGGCCAGAAAGACTATGAGCATTACCTATGGTCTGCTCTTAAGCTAAAAACCACAAATAGAAGAAGACACACCTTGTCTCAACCTTTCATACATGTGCCAACTATCCCCCCTAATCTGCTTATAGTTATTCATTTTCTGATGCCTTCAGATAGCTGTTCTTTGTATTGTTCATCTGTGGTCAGTCTGGTAGCAATTTAGCCATCCCAGGATTGAAAATAAGTATGCATATTTTAAAGTAACAATTAGGCATAAGACATTTAATTGTGTGAGTTAATTTTTTGTGTTCATTTTTCCACAATAAGAAGACTTAGAGGAGCAAAAGAACACAAGACAGGTTGGAAGTGGAGAATGAAAGTTTCTGGAAATAAAGAAAACAGAAAAGGAGGTAGAGGCACCACGACAGCATAATTATGGGTTGAGTTGATTCTCGGCCCAATCTGGCAAGAGTGATGAAGGTTGTTAGTAAATATGTGGAGAGCCACATGCTGTGCTCCATACCTGCTGTTTGTCCCCCAGCCCCACTCCCCACTCTTCACCTGCTGTCTGCCCTCGAAGCCAGTCTATATGAAAACTGCATCACAGATTCCCTTTCTCTCTGGCTTCCATTTGCATTCCACCAGCAGAGAATACCTGCAGGAGATTAAAGGGAGGGAGGAAAGTGAGGTCAGGATATTTTTTCCCCAAGATCTCTCCCTGGTAGGTGTCTGTGGGTTGATTGCATTGTTCCACCAAAGGCCACAGTTGCTATCAGGCAGCCCTCTCAAAACCCTCTCTAGATGCTGATAAACACTCCTTTCCTTCTCCCTTCTGGCTTATTGTTGGTAATGGCCCTCTACTGGCATTCTGCAACCTCCCTTGTTGCTTTTCCTAAATCCTGCGCACACTTTTGTAAACAGTTCCTTTATTAAACTCTTCCCAGCATGAGTGCACCATCTGTTTCCTGCCATGATCCTGATGGATAGAGCACACTCAGAAAAGTACCTTTAACAAGGCCTTAGAAATAGGATGGTAAAATATTAGCCCACTGTCAAGGAGGGGAGAAGACATTAAATACCTCCAAAATAGTAACTCATAAACTTTATTCACATGTGTTGTCTAATTTAATGCATTTTAAAACACTCAGATTATATAGGTAACGATATCACTTTCATTTAAAGTTAGGAAAATGAGACTTTAAGTCAGGTGAGCCACTGGGATTCCTTGACCTTCTTTAGACTATAAATTGTCTTATCTCCCCACTACCCCTAACCCATTCATTCAGACAACACACACCACCAATGCTGAAATGCAGAACTCTCCAACTTCTGAGCAGCTAGGACATTTTTAAAGTCCTTGAGCCCAAGGAAGGGTGTGGTCATCCCAACTTTGCTCTCTATTAAAATCCAAATACTAGAAAAATAGTCCATGGTAAATTCAGCCAGTTTGGAGACCTGCACGTATTGTTCAGAGACCCCCTTGCATTTATTTTAAAGAAACCATTTTTTAAAAACTACAAGACAATATGGGAGTTGTAGTGTGTACAGTTCACTGAAGTATTCTTTAGACATCACTCCAGGGATTCACAGGAGTTCCCAAGCTTCAGGTTGTAAAACTCATGATACAGAATTTAAGTCAGCAGAACAGATTAAGACCTCGGGCTCTGGGAATGGGCAGATCTGATCTCCTATACCATATTTGCCAGCAGCCATATTCTAGACAATCTGCATAATTTTTCTTATCCTCAGTTTTCTCGTCTGTAAAATGGTGATAATAATACCTACATCATAATGTTAAATAAATTAAATAAGCTCAGGCATTTTAAGTACTTAATACAGAGCCTGGCTCACTATAATCACTCAATAAAATACGGCCAACATTAATACTCAGATTCAAATTCACAGCAAAGAGTCATCTTATTATAACATGGCATGTAAGTAAAAGAAAAATGCCTTTAAATCCTTTAAATACATATCAAAGCTTCCCAATTGGGATTTACAAAGAAATTTTAAGAAACAAAAAAAAACTGAACCTTAAGACTATCCAACATTGCTCCCATTTCCATTTCAATAAAAGACTCCAGAAATTGCTGGTCCTCTAAATAAGCCTTGTCATTTCCTTAAGTAAACTCTCTGTACCACTGGGTATAAAATGTAATAGAAAGCTATGTGCTCAATTTATTTTATAGTTTCTTACTTATTGTTTTCCATTTCCTGTTTCAAAGCTGTAAACGTCCCTTAAATTGCAGCTAAAATTATTATTGTCATTGAATTACCTAATTTCGTAGTGTAGAGTCTGGATTGGAGGCACTCCATCCCCCAGTGAGCTACAAACAGGCATGTTGCTAAGCAAGGGCTATGCGGTTCACTCTTGCATGTGGTTCTGCTTTGCCATTTGATGCAGGTGGGTTCTTTCTGCAAACTGCTCATTAGAAAATCTGGATCCAGATTTTGACCATGGAAGTCATTCTAGAAATATTTAAGGATTGATTGATCCACCAGAAATGGGAATCTTTTGACTATACTTGGTCATCTTCCACAGGGAGACCAGAGTTCTCCCTTGTAAAGGCTTTTTGATCTATTAAATATTTTATTCCAAAATTCCAGTGAGTCTTTGGAGAAACCTCCAATCTATCCTATCCCTTTCGGTAAAGACATGTCAAGGCCAGGATCATGGAGTTTGCCCTCTAAGACTGGCCCGTGGAAAGCTCAGGGGAGCATATTGCTCAGACATCAGTGTCCAGGCACACTGTCCCAAGGCCTTCTGGGGACATCTTTCCGTGGAGCTGAGTGCAAGGCCAACATCTAATCTGTTCCAAGAATCAGAAACTAGTTAATGCCTCTCACACACTCCTATAGAAATAACCATAAAGTTAAAGCCATAATCAAATATTTGGTTATTTTTGTTGATCAGTTTTTTGATGCCTCCTTCATAATCAATGCCTATTCTGAAAAGTGAGAAGTGAATGGCAGCCATTGGGAGTTTCTGCAGATGGTCCCCCAGATGGACAGCAAGATCCCCAACATAAGATTCTATATACTTATGATCATTTTTGTCAGCCATAAACAGATATACCAACCACAATGACTGTAGGCATCCCAAGGCTTGGATCAAATACGTTTAGATATCTTCGGGGAAGAATTTTTATTTTAAAATGTCACCAGTATTTCTGATGACTCTGAAAACCAATCTTTCATCTTTCTTTAATAGTACCACTGGCTAAGACAGACAGGACTCCTCATATTATTGGTATAAAGGTTACTAAACTGTTAGATAAACTGTCTTATTTGAAAAATGGGTTTCAGTCTTCAGTAACCCAAAATAGCATATCATCGTGGCCACTATGATCTTAGGTAGATCCACCAACGGTTAGGGAATCACTAAAAAAATGGAAGCTACAGAGCGGCACTGCCTCAAGCTCTATGAGCCACCGAGCCTTGATGCCAGAAAGTTTGGATATCATGCAAAGTAGCTGGAAAGCAGGCTACCTGTTGCATAGTGGTGAACTGATGGCATCATCAGGCATTCTGCCCTTCCCACCACATTCTAAATATCAGCAAATGGAATAAACTCGGCGCCAGCTTCCAGTGCTGAAGTTGCTCCAACTGTCTCCATCATCAGACACACCCCCTGGGCCTGGCCACTGGGAGGTGCCCCAGAGAGCAGGTGGGGCTTCTGCTCTCTAAATACAGGAGGCCCTTTCAGCTTCTGCGCTAAGCTCCTTTCAAACCACCGCTGGAGACTGGAAAAATCAAAACTTCACAGCAATGATAAGAGCACTGAAAAGAAGCAGATTTCCTGAGTCTTGAAAGGAAGGGGCACTGGAAGATAATATTTTTCTCACTGCCCCGCCTGTGTTTTCTTAGGCTCAGCTAAATCCAAGGCAGTCTCTCCCAGGCCTAGGCTCTCCTGAGGACCGTGCACAGGCAGCTGCATAAGGAACGAGGGAACTTGCTGCCCAAAATGTGTAGCTGAGAGTCCAAGAAAAGGATACAAAACCCTCAGGAAGAAGGTGTGTAATATTTTTGTTGAATCAAATCGTGATTTTGTAAGGGGAAAAAAGACACACATAAAAGGCCATTTAGCATTTGGCAAAAAGGGGGAAAAAAGAGCTTTCTGTGTTCAGTACAAACTCACTTCAAGGGAGCTGTAGATCAAATTACCAGCCTGTGACATGTGGAGATTGGCTGAGCAGCGGGCTGACGGTAATTCAAATGCCAAAGCTTCTGGACTGTTCCCGAGCCCATAAACTACACAGAAAATGATCCTGTTTGCTGAATTATTTTCAGTTGCAACAGCTGCTATAACAACTCAGAGAATTTTAATATGTATATACAGGGCTGGCGAGTAACCACTTCAAACATTCTGCGATGGGGTCCCATCTTCCCTTTCAATTCTTTTAGGTGGAGGTGCTGAAGCTGCTGTGAGAGGCCCAGAAAAATGAATAGGCATGGGTGTATGTTCAGGGATTCACACAAGGAGTAGAATTAGAACTGGAATTTCGAGGGGAAGATCCACAGGAGGAAAAGAAATGTATCTGTTCACAGTAAACATATAAGTATGCATGACTTTTATAATTCAAAAAGTAAACTTTTTAAAAAAATCTGGATAAACACCATATATCATCATGATGAAGAAATTATCTGATAAATAAGGTTCTGAAATGAATTTGAGTTTAACAAGTGAGCTTGCAATCTACCAAGAAGTGAGTATGTGAGTGGCATTATAGAGTTTGCAGAGAAGGCGCCTAGGTTTATGGACTTCTTATAATAAATCAAAGGAATATGGGGATGAGGCCCAGGTTGTACTGGAGCAGGGATTGCAATTGCCAGACAGTCCACGTAAGAACTTATGCTTGTGTGGGCTGGCACAGGGCTTTAAAGCATTGGAATCTGAATGTCCTTAAGTGGGAACAAACCCTTCATTGTCACAGCAACCACCGCGCCTCTCTATCCTACATCCCGGATTCTCACATCCACAGGCCTGGTCCCTAAGGCATTTACATTTCCAACACCTGCTGCCCAACCCCATCATTTCCATTTCTGATCAGGTAGTCAAAAGTCAGGATATCAGTGAGTAAGACAGAAGAAAACTGTGATGGAAACTAAATGAAACAAATTAACAGAATAACAAAATTGATAGCAGCATTCTAGCATATATCAGTTTGTTGGGGCTGCCCTTAACAAAGTATCACAATTGGGTGACTTAAACAACAGAAATGTTTTTTCTGGCAATTCTGGAGGCTGGAAGTCCAAGATCAAGGTGTTGACTGGCTTCCTCTGAGCCTCTCTCCTTGGCTTGCAGATGATCAACTTCTCCACGTCGTCACGTGGTCTTTCCTTTATGTGTGTGTATCTGTGCCCTAATCTACTCTTCCCGTAAGAACCTTCAGTCATATTGGATTAGGGCCCATCATCTGACCTCATTTTCCCTTCATTACTTTTTTAAAGGCCCTATCTCTAAATATAGTCATATTCTGAGGTATTGAGGGATAGGACTCCAACATACAAATGGTCAATAGGTTACTATTCGAAGAAGAAAAAGTTGTCTATACTCTCTCTCTCTCTCTCTCTCTCTCTCTCTCTCTCTCTCTCTCTCTCTCTCTCTCTCTCTCTCTTTCTATATATATATATATATGGTCAATACTGGCCCACAAAAACATTCACCCTATAAAACCTCCTTAGCCAAACCAACCCATAACAAATCACAATATAAAGATTCACAAACTCTTCCACTTATACTCCTGGGAGTCTTAGAGGATGTCTCAAAACAGCCTTCAATAAGCATGAAATTCCTTTGGCATCTCTATTTTGCATGCTATTCCAAAATATACCCATGTTTATTTTAATAGAAAAGTAACTTCCCTCAAATCTATTCACACTTTAAGAAATTGCACTACGTTCTGCCTGTGGCTTTGTGTTCTCTTTGGCGAGACATAGCTTGGCCTAGGGGTAAGCACTAAGCCCCATTCCCCTCTGCAGCAGGGGTGGAGAGAGGGTATCTCCTGTTGTCTTCTTGTCTCAGGGCCATGCCCCCTCCTGGACCATTAGAAATGCCTCCTGCAGATCTGCCACTGCACTTGGCATTTCTGTTATTGTTGCTGTTTTCATGAAAATTTCAATGGCAAGATGGAGAAGGGCAAATCTCTCCATTTTAGGTTATCGCATAATTTATGAGAGGACTATGAGTTTAACGGTAATGTAAGTTTTGGGGGGAACCAACAGTGCAGCTGTGAGGGATCTAATAAGGGGGTTAGACGGATGACCAGGAGAACACATGCTCTGCAACTTCAGTCTCACCATCTTGGCCAATATATACTGGCTGCTCCTTTTCCCAACCAACATCCAGGACCAGAGAGGCATTACCTGGTTTTATAAAATAGTAAACACATCAATTTTCTAAAGGAGTAAACAATAAAATTATAAAATAAGAACTAAAAATATACAACAAAAATACAGAAAAACATATAATAATATAAATAATACTCAAGTTAAAACCAAAAACTTAAAAACAGATAATAAAGATAAAAATTGTTTCATTTTCATGTTTAATTTTGTATTTTCTAACTTTTACCATGAAAATGTTCAAACCAAGAAAAAGGTGAACAGTGAAATCCATACCTATATATCTTTCATGTCAATTCAATAATCCTTAATATTTTGCCTCACTTTGTCCATCTCTCTCATGAATGGCCTAAGGATGAGGATGTTCTCCTACATAAACCTCATACCATTACCACACCTAAGAAAGTGAAC